AAGCCACTAGCTCACAAAGTACAATTTTTGCTGACAAGACTCCACAGCTTAGAGGGAGCATTGACGGTGACCCATCTGGATTAAGCTCCAAAAGATCGCCATGGGTCGCTGCGATTGATTGACTCAACTGGTACTCCGCCTTTCTTCCAAGGAGCTCCGAGTCGTGTACCTGGTTCTCCCGGCCTCCATTTTATCCTCACAACAACCCCATAAGGAAGGTTAGGCAGAGGGGGTATGCGTCCAGGGTCGCTCAGCAAGCTTCAGGTATAAACACCAGCCTGGGAACCCCAACAGGCCTGAACATTTCCCCCACCCCGTTCCAAACAGCATGTTCCAAACACGGTGTTCCCAGTGCGAAGTACCACGGCCTGGAAGGAAGCCAGCCCCGAGGCGTTCCTTCTGAATCAATCAATGCCACCCATCAAATTAATTAACCCGGAGACAAGTTACACAAAAAGGACGGGGCTGCCAAGGTGCAATCGACGTTGCCAAGTCACCCGAAGAAGCACAGCCCTGCCTGGCTCTGTCAGAACCCACAGCCAACAACGTAGAACATGCTTATCAGGAAAGGTAATACTTTACTGAAGACCTACAGATGCATTAACATAGGCACTGTTAAGAATGGCGGCTGCCCTTGGGCATAATAGGATATAGGGTATTCTTATGCACACACCCCACTGCCCTGGCCAATTGGGCACCCTCCCGCACACAGGAGAAAGAGCACCGGCCGTTTACCACTGAAGCTGGGAACCAAACTCTCTCCCACGGTTCCCCAGAAACCCAGACGTCAACATCACCACCTGCAGAACTGGTAGATAAGCATTACAGCAGCAAAGAAGCACAGAAGGAATGCACTGGCATAAACACAGGTATAAACACCAGCCTGGGAACCCCAACAGGCCTGAACATTTCCCCAACCCCGTTTCACACAGCATGTTCCAAACACGGTGTTCCCGTTCCAAACACGGTGTCCCCAGCGCGAAGTACCACGGCCTGGAAGGAAGCCAGCCCCGAGGCGTTCCTTCTGAATCAATCGCTGCCATCCATCAAATTAATTAACCCGGAGACAAGTTACACGAAAAGGATGGGGCTGCCAAGGTGCAATCGACATTTGCGTACTTTTCACACCCAGAGAAGCACAGCCCTGCCTGGCTGTTGTGACTTTAACCGCACCAGAAACCGGAAGA